GTCACCCTCTGTGGAATGCTGTGGCATCACAGCTCACAGCAATCTCAAACTCTTGGGCTTAAGCGATTCTCTTGCCTCAGCCTCGCAAGTAGCTGGGGACTACAGGTACCCACCACAATGCCTGACTATTTTTGTTGCATTTACCACTGCCATTTTTTTAGCTGGCTGGAGCCTAGTTGGAACTCGCCATCCTTGGTATATGGGGCTGGCGCCCTACACACTGAGCCACACATTGGGTGCCGCCCAATGCTCAGTGATTTTTAGAGATGGAGTTTCACTCTTACTAAGGCTGCTCTTGAACTCCTGAGCCTCAGCAATCCACCTGCCTTGGCCTCCCGGAGTACTAGGATTATACACAGGTGTGAGCCACCACACCCAACCGGAAAGTCATACTTTCTAAATAGAATATCAGTTACATTTCAAAATACATTCCAGGATATGATTTTTCTTAAAAAATAAAATAGAGGGTGTTATTTTCAGAAGTTGTAATTTGTTAATACAAATATGGTCCTAATTGTGACATTTTATTTATGCCTACTTATTCAACTATGTGGTCATCAGATGTTTACCACATACTATGTACTGATAGATTTTGGAGATGCAGAGAGGAATGATACAGTGCCTCTCCTTAGGAAGCTGTCTTAAGAACTAGGTATTTGGTTGGTTTTTGATTGTGAAACTTTTCCGCTTCATTGATTTTTGAGTTTACCTTCAAAATATGACATCTGACCTTCCATATCTTAGAAATTTGTTGCTTTTTTAATATCTCTACATTGTCTTTGATGCTTTGGTAGCATGCACTGAAAATTAACTCTTCTGTTTGAAGTTGTTACTGTCAAGATGAAAGATTAACTTTTTTATCTTTGAGTTCACGATAGCATTGATCTCTTAGTGACAGAATCCTTCATGAAAGACAGATAAGGCTGGGGGCAGGCCTATAAGCCTTGGGTGGAAAACATTTGAGAAGTCATGTTGGTTTTTAACCAACATTCTTTGCTCTTGGATGTTTAATTCACTGTTTGGAGAGCATAATTCAGATTAAAATTAAGAATTATTTAGCAATGCCGTAGCTCCTGTGATGTGGTGTTTCAGAATTCATTAAGCTAACGTTTCAAAACTACATTTAATTAGGTGTTAGCTTTGCATGCCATGAATTATATAATAGAAATCCATCAGAATTATGTTCTGAAAACAAATTGCTTAAAATGTAGGCTTATTTGTGATTTTTGAAAGATGAGGGAAGTTATATTCAGGATAGAATGGCAAGTGGAAGTTATAGTCAGGATAGAATGGCAAATAGCATTCAGGGATAGCGAAATTTTAATTATTAAGGAACAGTTACTACACTGATTATTTTTCATTTATATCATTTAATTATGATTACGTCATAAGGCTTATGTTTTGGAAAGGGTAGAAACTTGAAGTAGAATATCAGATTTTACAAAACATTTTATAAAGAACTCTCTTTATAAGCCCCTGGGCTTGGCGATGCCACCTATTACATGAGTGAAACCTGTTTTTACCTCTCCCTGAATGTCGATCCAATTCTCAGCCCCCTGCCCCTCAGGGTAACTGTTACCCTGAATTCACTGTTTATCGTTGCTTTAATGTTAGATTTTCATTATTGCTGTTTTCATAACCCTAATGATATCAAAGGGAAGACACATTTTGAATGCAGTTCCTATTTTAATCTACTCATTTTTGGACATACCTGTATTGTAAGTGGCATACTTTTGCTAATGTCATCTCTATTTGTACTCAATCAACAGTACAACTTCATGTGATTTTATGCCCACTAATGGGTTGTCATTATTTTGTTTAGTCTATTTACCAGGTTATAAGTTATAACTTGAAATGATACCATAGTGTGTGCATTTAAACAAAGATTTATAGGATATGTTCAAATTAACTGCCTTTTCTTGGATATGACAATAATAAACGCTCCCTGTAACAACAATATAGTTTATACTGCTTAAAGTTAAATTGCTAACGTTGCTTGCAGCTTTTTTTTTTTTTAATGCTTTAATCATTACACCATAGTTTGCTTTGCAGTGCTGAATATCCTGTTTTGTCTTCATGATATTTGAATACATATATGTTTCTAGTAAGTTGTTCCTAAGAGACAAGTAATTCTCTTTCTCATTTTTACGCAGATGATCATCTGGTTGGAGAAGATGTTAGATAAAATAATTAGCATTTTCATCATATTTTTGTTAGTGATAGGAACTCTTCTTTTAGCCCTACTCCTGACTGCAAAGGTACAGTACAACAATTGCTGTTCCCATTAATGTACTTTTAATGTTAGAGTGATAGTATGGATAAGATTGCAGAAACAGCATGAAAATGTTACTGGCTTATACGTATGAATAATAGGTAAAATATTTTATTTGTATATTACTAATTTTGCTACGAATTTGCCTAGAATATTTTCTTTTCAGACCTGTTTTACATGCATTTTTATTTTATCAAAATCCTCAGGGGTAAATGCAGATGAAAAAATGAGACCCTGAGGAAAAAGTGGCTTTTTTGTTTTTTTGGTAGAAGAATTATGATCTGGTCTCATGACTTCTAATCTGACAGTTAGTAAACCGTTCACTGGATCAGGATTTCTTGATTTGCTCCTTCTCTTCCTGTCTCACTGCTGTATCTGCTAATAAACCCATCATATCTTTATTTGTCTATTCTCAGGTCCTTCGAGCTTACATTTTTCTTTGCCCCCTTTCATCTCATCAAAGAAAACTCTTCTCCAAATTGTAGCCAAAATTTTTATCTCTATGGTGGTGGTTTAGTTTAGTTTAGTTTTTCTGCCTAGTTTAGTTTTTTTTTTTTTTTTTTTTTTTGAGAAAGAGGATCTTGCTCTGTTGCCCAGGCTAGAGTGCTATGATCACAGATCACTGGCCTTGAGCTCTTGGGCTCAGGTGATTCTCCTGCCTCAGCCTCTGGAGTAGCTGGGAGTAGAGGTGTATACCACCACAACTGGCTACTTAAAAGCATCTTTTTTCTTTCTTTCTTTTTTTTTTTTTTTTTTGGTAGAGATTGATCTGGCTACATTGTCCAGGCTAGTCTTGAACTCCTAGACTCAAAGCTCTGGAATTATAGGCGAGAGCCACTGC